AAGGCTGCCTCAAAGTCCTGAATCAATTCAAAATATTTACTTTTCATGGTCATTTTGACTTTAGGGAAGAAGTAAAAGTCAAAAACTAGCGAGCTGGATGACGACACACCATGTTTTTACCAGCCTGACTTTCTGTTGCAGGGCACTTGGCAGCAGCATTCACAGATGTTTTTACCACACCTAGTAAAGACACTAAGGACAGAGAACTCCAAGAACTACTTCAGAAAGTGCCAAGAACAATGGGATAAGTGTGTTCAAAGTGAGAGGGAGCTTAATAGCAATGAAGGGGGCTCATAGCAATGTGCCTCTCACTGTAATAATTTTTAAAAATTCTAAACATTCACCATATTTTCTATCACCACTTGTCTACTCAGTGGTAGCTAATAACAACTGCCACCTACAATGGCCTTCCTTTGGACTGGGCCCTAAGCTGAGGACTTCCTGTGCATTCTCTTGCTTATACCTCATAATAGCCCCACAAGCCACCTGCTCTTGCCGCCTCATTCTAGAGAGGAGGACACAGGTTCCGAGAGGGACATCACTTATTCAAGGCCAGTAGGCAGCAGACACTGAATTCCTAGCTGGACCTGTGAGCCTGTTAAGGTCTGTGTTCTGAGACCATGACAAGGATTTCTTATCTTAAAACTTCAGACCTTTCATGGGAAGTCGAAGCTAGTGACAGAGGAGGTGGCCCTGCTAAGCGGAGACCTTGAAGGAAAGGCATTATTTTCTGAAGTCAGAAGATTGCACCCTAAGTGAAGGCAAAGCAGACGGGCACCCTGCAGCAGTGACACCCTCTCACCCTCCTCCCATTGTTATGCACAGAGAGAGAGGGCTAGGGAGGCAGGGAGGCTGACGACCTCACCCTCAGCCAAACGAACTCACACCTGTCTTTGTCCTCTGCAAACATGGAATCAATTGCTGGTGCTTTAGCCACAGTTTTCTTCTCTTGTCAATATTGAGTAACTAAAATGTTTTGGGAATCCATGAATGAGCATGGTAACAGTCTGTAGTGTGGTCACATGAGTCAGAGATCTATCTCCCAGCCTTTTTGTCAGTGTGTACCTCATTCAGCAGGTACTGCCCAGGCCCTTGGCAGGTGCCAGGCACCACTGGTTCTTGAGGGCACAAAGGAAGCAGGGTGGGCCCCATTCCTGCCCCTGTGGACACCCTGCGAGTCTTCACCAGTGTGAGGGATGCAACAGAGGCGGGTGTGTGTGCCGGGGAGCCCAGGACTGCTGAAGGGATGGAAGCAAAAGTATTCCTGGCAGGGGGGAGAACATACGCAAAGGGCCTAAGGCATGAGAGACAGCAAGCAGAGTTGGTCAGGTCCCTGCTGGGCTAGCTCATAATAGGTGTTCAATAAAGTAAGAATGAATGAGGAACGAGTCTAACAAGGATTGGTGGGAGATTAGGATGGAGCTGTACACTTACGCTGAATTACAGGGTCTTTTAAGCTGTTGCAAGAAATTTTGACCTTGACCCAAACTGCAAAGGGAGGCCATGGAAGCAGACAAAATAACAGAGTGGTGATCATATTTATGCTTTTCCACAAATGCCAAGCCACTGAATATGACATATGACTATGACTATGTCACCACCCACCCATCCTGACACCCTCAATGTGATACGAAGCTTTATTTCTCCCCTTACTCACCAGGGAGATGAGATGGCTAAACATGCAGCAGACTCATAGGAACTATTCCTGCTTCCCTATTGGTCTTTCCTCCCATCGTGGAGGTGAGCACCTGGTGGAGGGCTGGGAGTCCTCAATGCCTGCCTGTTAGCCACATTCCAGGAGCTCATTTTGCCAGCATGACTCCAGGCGGTGGCTGCACTAGACACTTTTTTTCCCCCTATGTCAACAAAACATTCACTAGCTAACTTATGATTTGCATTAATTTTGTTTTCTGCAAAAGCAGAAGCTGAGACAGGGGACTTGGGTGCAGGGAGTTTATCTGGAGGTGTTTCCAGGAAGCCAGAATAAGGGAGTGGAGAGGAAGACACAGAGGAGGAGGAAAACCCAGTAAAGTGTACATCATTGGGTCTGTCCTCCTTGTGGGGAAACTGGGATGCAGCAAGGCTTGGAATGGGAGGCCGACCTGTTGGAGTGCATCCTCCACAGACCGGAGGCTGCCCCTGAGGTGTTGGTTTCCCCCAAACTCGTGAACTGTGCATGCCTGAGGCTCAGAAGGCCTCCTGGGGCCCCTAGAGAAAGACCTAAGGCAGAAAAGAGAGGTGGGATTACGTCCTTGTGCACAGAAACTGTCCCCCACCACAGCAGCTGAAGCTGAAGGTGGGCTGAGAGGACACAGTGTGCCACTGAGTGATATACACTGGACGCTTACCATGTGCCAGACACGTTCATTATAGTTTACATAGGCTGACTTGTTCGATGAGTCCAAATAAGGTGAGGTAAACGTTTCCACCCCTATGGGCTGAATGAAACCACTGAGGCTTAGAGAAATGGAATAATTTATCAAAGGCCACAGACCTAGAAAGGGCTGGATGAGTAGAAATTTAAATCCAGATCTGCTTTTGCCACCATAGCATCCCTTTATGGAAGCTTCTGGAAGTTCCAGGGAATTGTATATGTCACATAGTGCTACCCTCCAGGCCACAGGTGATTGGATCAGGGGGAAACACCTGACCCAAGGTACCCTAATCAGATTTCCTTATTTGGAAATTTGGACTTTGAACCTGGAGCCATAAAGTATGGAGTTGATGGTCCAATGAACTCCAGGGCTGTGGCCGCCATTTTGGCATAACCACAATGGATTGTGTTGGGGAACAGGAGGGAGTGGAAAAGAATAGGGCTGAGCATCTATTCCCTTATGAAGAACCCAAGAGACAGAGCAAGCAGCTGCGCTTTCCTGTCATGGATTCCATAAGATTTCCTACATCTTTTCAAACTTGAATTGGATGAATGCATTTCCCTTTCTGCCAACCACAGACCATTGAGTAAAGAACAATCTGAAAAACTTGAGACACTCAAGGGGGCATATTCATGAGATGGGTGAGTGCTTCATAGACAGATGAAAAGATTTGGGGTGTCCACAGGTCTTGCCATAAACTCCCTGCCTGGTTGCTTTACGGAGACAGAGCAAAGACAGTATTGGGCTGGGGGAGAGTGACAGAGAATGGTATCAAGCTCAGGGCTACAAAATGAAAGCTGCTTCATTAGAGTTCAGCATCTGCTTCTTTGAAAAAGAAGGGGAGTGCAGTTCGGGCCCCATCTCTCCCCACAGCTTTACTGCTCATAAAAGCAGCTGGGTGAAGGGCTTCTGGATCGACAACTCTACTTCATTTTTTGTCCCTCTGTCGGCTGCAATGTAAGACAGCTCGAGGAGAAATTAATACTCGAAGTCAGTGTCCGCCTGCTGACAGCAGATCAAGGCTGAAAGACAAATTGCTCATTACAGATCAGGGAGCCGGAGCTGGGAGAGGAGTGCTTTGCTGTCCCCTGCTAGCTCAGGCAGCTCGCACCAGTGACTAACTTTGCATGGGACGCACCCGGACTTCTGCCTACCTAGCTTTGAGGTTTGCAGGGGCCCACAAAGGGCTACTTCTAGGGGAGCGGCCTCTAATCGGCTACGTTTGTCACCTGTCACCCACACGCTCAAGCCTAATTCTCTGGAAAAGCTGTGTGTGCATGCCACCTGTCACCTACCTATTCTGGGTCATGGTGGTGATCTTCTTTGGTGGGAGCAGGGCTGACAGAAAGGCAGAGGACCCTTGAACAATGAGAAATCAAATGTGGGCAAAATTCTCACAGTTTCCCTTGCCTACACCCCTCATCACTCTCCTCCGATGCTTCACTTCTTCCAGACACTTCGCTTCCCTGATGGTCAAGGATATTATATTTTAGGGGTTCAGTCCCACACAAGCTCCTGACCCAAACATCAAATGGGGGCTGGCACCCAGGCCGCACTGACCTGGCTAACCCAGGTGCCTTGGTGCCCTGGAAGGTGGCTTTGTCCACTTGGAGAGAGGCTGACTTTTTCCAATTTGCATAAAGGCGCTGCTTGGCTTAGACTGAGTGCTTGTAATTTAGAGCTACTGGCTTATGTGTCTAGTGTATATCTCCCCTAAGTAGAATGTAAGCTCTAGGAGGGCAGAGAAGGTGCTGGAAATACTCCATTTGCCTCTCCAGGGCCACTTGCCACTCTTCTCCCTGTCCCATGCCCAAGGAAGAGGACGATTTCATGGTGTCCCTTGCTCCCCTGCTGCCGGTTGAATTCAGCCAACTGGAAGGACCAGCCGGAAATCAAGGGTGGGAGAGGAGAGAGCTGGGTACAGTATTTGACCCCAGCCACCTTTCTGATGCATTGACTTGGTTATTTGTGACTCTGTGCCTGAGGCCATAGCTTCTGTCACATGGCCTCCTGGGAATGACCCTCCTGGATCTGGCTGCTGCTTGCTGGCTTTGCCCCTTCAGGCCTAAGAGTGGTAAAGTCTCCCTGGTGTTACCAGCCCCTGGCCTCACCTTTGTAAATACTCCCTTGAGTTCAACAGTTCTCAGCTTTCCAATTGAAGCTGGGCGTGGTGGCACACAACTGTAATCCCAGCACTCAGGGAGGCTGAAGCAGGAGGATCACAAATTCAAGCCTAGACTGGGCAATTTAGGGAGACCCTGTCCCAAAATAAAAAAAAAATAAAGGGGTAGGGGATGTAGCTCAGTGTGAAAGCCCAAGTTCAAAAAATTCCCAACTCGAATACACTTGGTTCATTGCTATGTCCTCCATGCCTTGAAGGGTACCTGGCAGAAAGCAACCATCAGAGTTTGTTGAATGAATGAATGCTGACTCCCAGTGGGGACAGGGCTTGTTCATGCCATTCCTCATCTAAAACTCACCAGCACCCCCTTCACTCGCCCCCACAGCTAGGCTGCAGCAAACCAATCACGAAGACTGTTCCTCCCACCTCATTTTTCCACACTCAGCAGACCTCAAATCTCTCTGTTCTCAACAATTTGTTTCGGACAACAGTTAGACCCTGTCTGAAAAATTTAGCTTCCATCTCTCGCCAGTAGGGGAAAAAATAAGTGAAACCCTTAGGGGAGCATCCTTTCTCATTTCTGGGGAAAAAAAATCTGTTTTCCCTGCCATTCTTCTTTTCTTTCCACCCATTTGCCAGACCCAGTCTCCTAAATGAGTGCTCGTGGGTGCTTGCTGGCCAGGATAATTCCACGCTGCAGAAGCTTGGAGCAGAAATGCAGAGCTGGGCATCTGGGGAGCCATTGTGCAGTCTCATCAAAGGTGCTTCTTTGGGGGCAGCGGTCCAAGGGCTGTTGGGCATAACGACCAGATGTCAGCATTCCAGCCCTGGAGATGGTGCAGCACTTTCCCTCTGGGGCTTCGCGGAAATGACACTGTCAGAGAAAACAATGATTTAATGGCCACATGACAGGAGCCTTGAGACTAATGGTACCCAACCTAGAAAAATGTAGGAGACAACTGGAAGGCAATTACGACATAGTCTGTGCCTACAAGGCTGTCATTACCAGTGGAGCATCGCTAGGAAGGCTCTCTCCGTTGGAAGGTCAGATTCAATTCCTACGGCACCAAGTCTTGGGGAGAAAACAGACACAGGGTGGATAGTTCTGTATTTTTACCAGGAATTTTCCAGAATCATATGCAGAGCACCTCCTCCATCTGTCTCTCCTCTTCCTCCTTCTCCCCCCTTCTCCTCCCTCCTTATCTCTCCCTCTCCCTTTAATATCTCTCTCCCTTCTCTGCCTTTCTCTTCTTCCTCCTTTCTCCCTCCTCTCTCTCTCCCTCTGCCTCCTTTCTGCCCTCCTTCTGTACTCTCTTTCTCTCTCTCTCCCTCTCCCTCTCCTTCCTTTCTCCCCTCCTCCTCTTTTCTTCCCCTTCCCCCTCCAGTCCTAATGATGCAGTTCTCCAGCTTCCCATACACAGCTCCCACAAACCTTTGTTTATGCGGACTAGGAAAAGTGACATTGCCTACTTGACAACTGGCTTTTGATTAGAAACACTGAGCTCTGCTGGAGTAATTGTGCTACACATAAGAAACAGATTTGAGGGCCTGAGGAGAATTCCCTGGAGGCCTGAAATAGTGGTCTAAAAAAAGGAACTCTGTCTTATGCATAGTTTGAACTTACATCCATGCCTTCCAGTATTTGCTAGATTTTTCTGTAATGAGCAGGTGGGATTTTTTTATGACAAAAGTCATAATTTCACCCGTTTTTATTGCCGAAAGGATAAGCATTGTGCATAAAAAAGCAGATATCTCTCTTAACTAGCACTCCTTGTCCATCTCCCGTCTCCAGAAGTGAATACTTTTATGCATATTATGTGGCTTCTCCCACACCATTTCCCACTGGCATGAATATATATACATGAATCTTTACACATTTCACTTTTATAATTATTTTGCTCTTCACAAATGGGATTATGCCCCATGTATTCATTTCACAAGCTTTTAAAACTTAAGGCTCTGTCTTGGAAGTCTTTCCATGTTGGAATTGGTACATAAGAGATTTACCTTATTGTCTCTAATCCTGCCTAGGAACCAGCTGTGTTACTCAACCGTGGTTTTTTGTTTTTTGTTTTTTTTGGGTTTTTTGGGTTTTTTTGGCACCAGGGATCGAACTCGGGACCTTGAGCTTGCGAGGCAGGTGCCAGAACAACTGAGCTAAATCCCCAGCAACCATGGTTTATTTCACCAAGTTCCCAAAGATACACAATCAAGTTCCTCTTAACATCTCCCTACTACATGCAATAAACAAATACTTTGTGTTGCCTATTTGGACACAGGAGCTCATATTTCTATATGGGAGAGATAATTATACCCATTAAGACACTTTGAGTTGCAGTAAATGAAGATCCAAGTGGCTAAACAATAAGGACTTGATGTCCTTATATTACCTAGAAGTCTGATGGTGGGGAGTTTCCAAAATTGGGTAATTCAATGGCTTAGTGCCATCATTATGAACCCAGGCAGTTTTCTTTTCATCTTTCTGTTATTGTTTTTGTTTTTGGTACCAGAGATCAAACTCAGGACCTTATGCTTGCGAGGCAAGCAGCGGAACCATTGAGCTACATCCCTGGCTTTCTTTTCATCTTTCTGGTCTACCCTTCTCAGAAAAATAGGAATGCCTCCTCAGTGGACCCACAATGGCTGGAGACTTTTTAGGTGATATGTGCAGCCATAGCCCTTCAGCTTTCTTCAGGTCCATTGGCCAAGATTGAGCTGCAAACTAATATATACACCTGTCACCAGCACAAGGAATAGAATGACCATGATTGGCATGAACCAATTGTAATTCTTCCTCTGGGTCTTGGAAGAAGAAAGGGAAAAGAAATGGATTTTATTAATCAAACTACCCTTCATAAAAATCTATATCAATTTCAGTCTACAAAGAGTACCTGAATATCAGTTAGTTTCCATTTAAAATTTTTTTAAGAGTGTGATGGGCAAAGAAGACATTTTCTTGCATTTGCCTGATCACTGAGATTGAGGAATCTATGTATTTATTGTCTATCTCCATTTTCCCCTCTGAGAATTAGATATTTGGATCATTGCTTATTTTCTATCAGGTAGTTTGCTGTGTTCTTACTGGTTTGTAAAAGTTCTATATTTGTGTCCTGGAAACAAATGTAATCAAAAAACTTATAAAGGTTGTAAAGGTTTTAAAGGACAAAGAACACTGAAATTATCCATCTTTATTTTTGCTTAGAATCTCAAGAGCTTCTGTAACAGTTCAGGAAGGAGATGAAAATTCATTTCATGAAGAAGGTTATGGTGACATGCTTTCCAAATCATGTGCTTCAGAACACAAGTTCTTTGCCAGATCTTAAAATGCAACTGGAGAGCAACACATAATATGTTCCTGTTTCAAAATCTCACAGTGCACAGGTAGCATATAGACAAGCTCTTTTTGATTAGGACTACAACCCACCTGTGTGATCTCAGACTCACTGCCTTTCCTCTCTGGGTCTCATTTCATTCATTGTAAAATAGTCCCCTCCAGATTGTTATGGGACATAGCAGCTAGATTAGTGCCCTGTCTATAGCCTTATGGCTCTTACCATTCTCACTCATGCCCATGGCTTCCCATAGTAGCACCATAGTGGTTCATCTGTGATCTGGGGCAGTCCAGAAGGAGCAAGATGTAATGCCCTTAGGAAGAGCCCTTCACCCATTATAAATAAAAATCGGTGGATAAATAACTGGGTAGCTTTGCCTTCAGATACAATGCTTCTAAGAAATATTCTATACCAGGAGTTCACAAAAGACCACCCACCAACCAAATCTGGCTCATTACTAGCATTTACAAAATTTTACTGAAGCACAGCCACATCTGTGTGTTTATATAGTGTCTCTATTTCCTTTCACTCTACAAGAAGAGAGACTATGCCCTGCAAAACCTCTTTCTAGACAAGCTTGCTGAGCCCTCCATTCTGTATACTATTCCTCAGTAGGGCCCAGTAGGGCTGAACCTAAGTTGCCCATTTGGTTTCCTACATGGTCATTAACACACCTTCCTTTGCTGTCTCACTCTCTTCCTGGTGCTTCCTGGGACACCCCCACGTATACTCTGTGTAACCATAAAGCTATAATATCCGAAGCAGTAGGTACAATTGGAAAAGACTGGGTAAGAATTGCAGACTATGGAATTGCTGAGGTCCCAGCCCAAGACATCTTTAGGGTTAACCTCCTCCCCTCATATCCCATTTCTTCCACAAATCAACACCAACTCTCTCTCTCTCTCTCCTCTCTCTCTCTGATACAAACACACTCATACATACAAATACATACAAACATACACACACGGAGCAAGCCTCCCATTCATTGGGGTGGTAGTTTTGCTCACATTACCATTACCAACTGAAGACTTGCAAGCTAAATGTGCAAATGGAAGATGAAGATGCCCTTCTTTCCTCTACGTCTAAGAAAGCACCCTAACTCCTGCCTGTTATGTGCCCATATAAAAGAGATAGACTTTCTCTATGGGGACACATGTCTGCTTATCTATAACTTCTCATATTTTCATACATAGAATAAATAGGTCATTGGACACCTCTCCTTGAAGGGGAGACAGTTCCCATATCTCATTATCACATGCGCAGCTACAATAATGCCACTCTCAAAATTTAAGGGACAAGGTGATAGTCTCTTAGATACAAGGTTGCATCTTCCTATCTACAGGCAATTGCACAAGTTGTTCCTACTGCCTGGAACACTCACTTCACAAATGCACTTTTGTAATGATTTGGGTCTCAGGTTAGATATCACTTGTCCCACAGACGCCTTCTCTAATCCTCTCTTCAAGTGCTCCCTATCCACATGCAGGCTGGGTCTTTCCGAAGCACCACCTTTGCAGTGTTGGTTACATTTGTTCATTGTGATACTTACCATGTTAACTAAATAAACACTTGTTTAATGTCTTTCCCACCTGAAAATAAGTTTCATTAGGTTAGGAAATCATCTCTCCTATTGATAGTTATAGCCTCAGTTTCTGCTCAATCTACTCAATCCACTCAATGGATGCTCAACACATATATTTTTAAATAGGTGAATGAATGGATGGATGAATACATGAATGAATGGAGCCCTCAGAAAAGTCAGTGGTCATTCTTCCGGTTTAAGAAATCCAGGACGAAGCATGTGATGGCCTCCAGGAGCTCTTGCTTCTCATATTCTAACATGCATGTGATCATCCATTGATCTTGTTAAATGCAGAGCTCCAAGTTCTGTAGCTCTGCATCTCTAGCAGGTGCTTGGGTGATGCAGGCTCCTATCTCTGAAGCAGACTTTGAAGTACAAGGACACAGATGCTCTTAACCAAGAACAGTAGCAGGTGGATTTATACATAAAATGCTTATTCTTTTTGCCTTCATTGACATTTATTTTCAAGAAAGATTCTCAAAGCAGCAATACTTCCCAGTAGGGCAGCCATGCTACATGACTTCTCCTGGATTCTAACCTCAGGCAAGCAAGGCAGGCCTTGGTATAGTACATGCTGGGGGCCTCTGTGATGCTATTTCTCCAGGGATAGCAGGTCTTAGCCACTGACCTCACCAAGGCACCCAATTTCTTATGATTTGACTTAACATAAGGATATTAGGATGCTGAGCTGACTCAAATTCAAGACACATCAGAAAGTGAACGGTCACCCAATGACAGCTGCCTCAGTGAGACCAGCAGCTCCATTGTCACTATCTGTGCACCTGTAATCTCCTTTCCCAAGTATACATAATTATGTGTGTACATCACACAATATACAAATGTATATGTCTATGTACATGTGTGTATATGTGATATATGTGTTTCTTCTTTTTTCTTAAATGCCTTCAACACTTGAGTGCTTTCAGAATTTGTAGAAGATATTTTGAGCTGTAGATGCTAATGACCTCAACACTAACCATCAAATTGTTGGGGTTCCAGGAAATGGCTCAATGCCTTGGGTGTAATATAATGTTAGAGCTTGGGCTCTACCCTGGGACTGAATTGGAGTAGGATACTACCTCCCACACTTCATAGCTGTGTGATCTAGGGCAAGTTACTTAGCCATCCTGAGCCACAGTTTCTGCCTCTGTACCATGAGAGCAATAATAATCCCTACCTGAAAGGGCTGTTGTGAATGCCAAACAGAATATGTACAATACATGCTATGGGTCCAGCACATAGCAAATAGCAATAAATAAGAGCTATTTTTATCATTATTGTCATTGTCGACCCCCATGGGGAGAGCTAAAAGAATTCTTTTTGTTTGTTTAAAAGAATTTTGATTGTAGGTTGAACAGCCTTTTTAAAATTAGGATAAGTGAAGGTCTTGTGTCTGTCTCTTCCTTCTGAGCCTCGAGAAAATGCTTGACCTGGGGTTGCCACCTTCTGGAAGCCTTTTGGAACGGGATCCTGCAGACTGCCAGAGGCCTGCTTGGCACAACTAAGTGCTCAAGACCCCTGTGCCTTCTATTATTTTGCTCCACTGTGCAATTGTGTGCACAATATTGCAAAGGACAGAGGCCAACTCTTAGGACAAGGCTCTGGAAATACTCAGAGATCTGTGATTACAAAACCAGCAAATCCAGGACCTCTCTGTTATAAGTAATAAAAACCCTTTCATAGACCACAAAAGGGACTTTATCCCAGAGACTGGGGTGTGTTGTGGTGTTCAGTAGTAGAAGATGTAATGGGACCTTCCAAAGCAGTCACCCCAGGACCCAGGATATCATTGGTCTCCTCTCCCACCTCTTCATCTCTTTACCTCTCTTTGCCTTAGTGAATAGAGATAGACAGTGTGATGGTTAAGCTTGATTATGTCAACTTGATTGGCCTGGGAAACACCTGGGAGATCGGTGACACATACTTCTGGATTTGTCCTTCCTTTCTGACACTGTTCCCCTGCTCTGCCTTCCTGCTTCCATGAACTAAGCAGCTTTGCTCCATCATGTCTTTCTACCATGCTGCTTCTCCCTTGGAGCCAGCTAACCATGGATTGAAGCCCCCTTAACACATGAACCAAATTAAATCTGTCCTTTAAGTTGTGTGTCAGATGTTGTATACAGCAATGGCAAAGCTGACTAATATAGGCACTTAACCCAAGCTGAGTCTATCGGATTCCTCCTTGAGAACTGGAACTGAGGATAGTTCATCTTGGTCGGTGGTCTCATCTGTAAAATATTCATGGTAGGGATTTAGGTGTAGCTCAGTGGTAGAGCACATGTTTAGCATGTGTGAGGGCCTGGGTTTAATCCCTAGCATAAGAAAAAAAACTGACTATGATAATCACAGTAAATTTACTTTATAGGGTCATGGTGGAGATTAAATGAGAAATTCCAATGGCAAGTTCTTCCCCAACACAAGGTACATAATGAGCACTCAGTAAAATGTGACTGCCATTATCATTGTTATCCCTAACATCAAACACCTTTGCACAAAAATTCACACACAGTAATGCTCGGTAAGCTTATGGGAAGAATGATCACTCAATCAGGGTATCACCTATGCTATTTGATGACATGGACCACGTGTTTCTGTAAAATATGTCACTGGAAGACAGTGGACTTTGCCTCCTAAACAAAGCCAAGTCAAATATACCAACCCTGGGTTTCATGTTTGTGAAGTGCAGTTGCCGTATGAAAGTTTTTGAGGGTTGCCAGGTGCTCACGATGCATTTTCCAGGTCATTAAATCTCTAGTTAGACAAACTCAATCATGTTTACTTGTTAAAATGAGATTAGGGGCATTTCAAAGATTAGGCTTATAGTGCAGGAAATATGGTTTAAGTTTTTCTGTCAGAGGGGTAGGGGATGTATCTCACAATAACATCAAAGAGGTCCACAGTGTTTTTCTCATTGTATACTTCCTGTCGTCATTCTCTCTGCTTTCACTGTTCCTGAGTAGCATGTATTTTGTCTGCATCACCACCTATACCTCCGATTCAAAAAACAAACATTCTGGAGATTTCTACCTGCATTAAATCAGGAACATTTTTATATATTTTAAATGTGGCTTCAATAAATGACTTTTGAAATGTACACCGAATAAATGCAGACAAACATGACTAATCAGATCACTCTCAGAGAGCAAGTCACAGGGAAAGTTTTGCAAGTAGAATTTTCTTCCAGTGGCTTAAAAAACAGCCTTCAAAGTGGTATCCTGTGTCTATATCTGGACAGGGTTCAAATAGATAGAAATATCACCAGTCCTTACCTTCCTGCTTCTATGTGACATTTTCAGCAAAGGAGTGCAGCAGGAAATTCAGATTCACTTAATGGAACTTCCCTCAGAGGTGAGAGCAAAGTGACAGAAAGTCAGATGGCCTTTTTTAGAACCCAACGGGGTTCTACTGAAAACTTCAGATGTTAACAAACAACTTAAGGAAGCAGAGCTCACACATGCATACTTTCTTTGGTCTTGAAAAACTGTTTAAAATCCCTCAGCATCTTCAGCATTTACATTTTCAAGTCCAAAGACCCTAGAACAATGACAGGCTCTCAATACGTCTTCAGAAAATATTTGGGGGTTTTTTGTTTTTTTAAAATTAATTTTATTGGTATATTTTAGGTATAAAATATAATGACACTCATCATTGGAAATTTGCACCTTCTCATAATCTCTCTTGGTTCTTATTTTTTCCCCATTCCCCTGCCCTCCCTTCAACCCCTCCAACCCTCCCTATTTACAAAGACTTTGTTTCCATTTTTTCATTTTCTCATATTAATTCCATTCCCTTCTTTCCTTTCCCCTACCCCT